AACCATGTTGATTTTAAATGTGCTTTATAAATAAATATTGTATTGCATTGTGAAGGTTATTTTTAAGTTTCTCATAATTATCTTTTTTATTTTTTAGTCAGAGGTGTTAACATGCTTTCATAAGTAAAATATGCTTTTTACTTGTGAAAAAAAAATTTTTTTACACCATTTTAAAGTATGATTACATGCACTGTCTTGATAGTACGATATATTTTTATAGTATATTTTAAGTATAAGATAACTTATTAACCAGTCAGCACCTTTTTACTGTAGCATCTTTGCAATCTTTTCCATTAAAATGACTTAAAATAATATTTTAATAGTGTAGTTATTGTGTTTGGGGTTGCTGAATAAGATGCATGCGATAAGAAAATGTTGTACTACTACTATCTAGTGCATGAAATTGTGATGCGGCTAGAGGCCAATTATGCTGCCACATTAGCTGCTGTTGTGTGCTTTTATATTAGCAAAGGCCTGCGGACAAAACCTTTATATGAGTCAAGAACATGCAGAATCTCACAAGATAACGCTGGATGAGCAGATAAACATACATACAACCATCACTGTCATCAAATGCACTGGAAGCTTTTAAATAGGAGGTACATAAATAGGAAGCAGCCATCATCCAAGCAGTAGTCATCTCTCCATCATGCCCAGAGCTTGCGTCTTTTTGCATTTGCATTTCACTGAAGACTGGCATTATTGCTCCGGGGGCACTCTCATGACAGTTAATGCAAAGATGAGAAGAGCTGTGTCACGTGTGCAGATTAGAGTCTCTCACAAAAGCCATACATTCAGACTTCAGCCCTCGGCATCTGCTGCACTCTCAGCTCCTGCTGAAACAAGAAAAAGAGCTTCTTAAACCTCTGTTGACTTACCGCTCATTCAGAATGCCTAAAGGAAGCTAAAGCAACAAAAGACTAAAGCTCCTTGCTGTGTGAATATGGGGCAGACTGGCAGTGCCGCCTCAAAAATCAATTGTACAAAAATAAAACGAAAAATATTAGGAAATAAAAGATCACAAAGTGTATAAATCACTAATATTTCTGTAGTAAATCTGAAGTAAAACAGCTACTCCAGCAGGAAAAAAAAAAAAAAACACAAATCAGAGGGAGCCTAGCAAACACTGACTGTTTCTTTAACATTAGTGTCTGGTTTGTGTTCTATTCTGTTTGTTTATTTGTCAGAAACCAATTCCTAACATTCTAGGAATGTTCTATTATTTGTAACCATAAAGTCACATTCTCAGAATGCTTTAATCAGAATTAAAGGGATAGTTCATCCAAAAATGAACATTTTGTCATCATTTACTCACCCCCAAGTTGTTCCAAACCTGTATGAATTTCTTTCTTCTGTTGAACATAAAAGAAGATATTTTGAAGAATGTTGGTAATCAAACAGTTGCTGGTCCACACTGACTTTCATAGTATGGAGAGAGAAAAAAACACTATGGAGCAGGGTGCGAACTATGGGGGAGCTAGGGGGAGCTCGGCTCCCCTTAATAAGACATGGGCTCCCCTGAAAACGTGCTAAAGGAAGCTAAAGCAACAAAAGACTAAAGCTCCTTGCTGTGTGAATATGGGGCAGACTGGCAGTGCCGCCTCAAAAATCAATTGTACAAAAATAAAACGAAAAATATTAGGAAATAAAAGATCACAAAGTGTATAAATCACTAATATTTCTGTAGTAAATCTGAAGTAAAACAGCTACTCCAGCAAGAAAAAAAAAAAAAAAACACAAATCAGAGGGAGCCTAGCAAACACTGACTGTTTCTTTAACATTAGTGTCTGGTTTGTGTTCTATTCTGTTTGTTTATTTGTCAGAAACCAATTCCTAACATTCTAGGAATGTTCTATTATTTGTAACCATAAAGTCACATTCTCAGAATGCTTTAATCAGAATTAAAGGGATAGTTCATCCAAAAATGAACATTTTGTCATCATTTACTCACCCCCAAGTTGTTCCAAACCTGTATGAATTTCTTTCTTCTGTTGAACATAAAAGAAGATATTTTGAAGAATGTTGGTAATCAAACAGTTGCTGGTCCACACTGACTTTCATAGTATGGAGAGAGAAAAAAACACTATGGAAAAAATGGCACGTATGGTCATACGTGGCCAAATCCTGGCCAGGATTTCTATATTGCCTAAAATATCTAGGGTTTGGCTTTGTTTGCGTAAGTCCGCGGTATAGTTCGAACACTGCTATGGAGGTCAATGGGGATCAGCAACTATTTGGTTTGTAGTTAATAAATGATAAACTAAAACAGAGATCTGATCATTTGCAATTTACATTAAATGTTTAAAATACTGTTAAATGGCTATAATTACTGATTATGTCTTCAGGAATTAAAAAAATGATAATAAAAATAATGCTTTTGGCATTGACAATCTTATATTGTGCTTAGTATCCGATGGAAAATAAAATTTGTGATCCTAGCAAAAATGTTTAAACAAACTTTTGATTTGTTTTAATAAATATTATATTATTATGTAATAATGTGTGGGAGGTTGTGTTATAATGAACGTAATCGCATCTAAACACAGAACGCAGTGACTTTATTCACAATATAACACCGCCTCAAGTGTCTTATTGCTTTTTTCACACTCTTACATACTAAATACATAATGAGATGTGTTTGATATTGTGTCAAATTTTAAGTGAATATTTGACCTTGATTTAGGAGGTCACGGCGCTTATATGTCTGTTTTAACAAGTAATGGGAGAAACAAACTACACAGACAGAATGAGGTACCTTCAGTTTTATTTTAAACTGTTTTAAATAGCTGCAGAGATTATTTTAGAGCATGAATAAAGATTGAGGTAATCTGAGTCATATTTTATCGCAGAATGCAGCAACTGCCAGGAGCTGTAGGAGATCAAGCAGCACATTAAGAGAAGCAGCAGTAGGTCTTTAGCCACCTTATTCAGTGTTAATACTCCACCGGGATCTGTTCTCTTTCACCTGTTACCCGCTTGACTCATTCAACACTTAATCTTTCTCCTTATATCTTACACTTTGCTCATTCCTTTTTTAAGCATTTATCATTTAAGCAGCAATCTTTGTGTTTTATTTCCACACAGGCAGATTGTTCAGCATATGGAGAGGGCAAATGAGGCAGTGTTTGAGGGATAAAGCACTTCTGTAATATATCACAGCTTCCCAGCCAAAAAAAATCTCATGATAACAGGGACGTGTCTTGCTCAGCGTGACTGAGAGACTGTGTACTCTAGATTTTCTTGTTTTAAAGTTAAAACGTTGTACCTAAAATGATCAAATAAACACAGGTACGTTATAGCCAGGATGCTACAGTAAAACAGAGCTTTATAAACTCACAAAGACAAGTCAAGACATGTGCAGAGCATTAGAAAAACTTTTTTTTTTTCATGTATAGGGTGAACTTAGGTAAATTGGGCCTTCAGGTAAATAAATATCATGCAGACAATGACTTGAATGAACCTCTTCAAGTTTTTTAATAAAAAAATCTAGGTGGTGTAACTTTTTCATGTTTAATTGTGTCCAAATTAATTACGTTTTAAATTTAACTGCATGGGTAATGACTGCTAATTTGTCAAAGATGTTAAAGGGGTCATATGATGCGATTTCAATTTTTCCTTTCTCTTTGGAGTGTTACAAGCTCTTGGTGCATAAAGAAGATCTGTAAAATTGCAAAGACTAAAGTCTCAAATCCAAAGAGATATTGAGGCAGAATTTCAACAGTTTAGGTCTAACACGCATGTTTAATGAGTCATCAAGTTGGCTTCACAGGTCTCTTGAGCAGTAAGTCAGTCAGAGGTGTTGTTGCCATAGTTTTATCAGTGGGAGGAAATCTTCCAGATTCTGAAAATAAAATTGGTAGCTTGTAGTACATTGTCACCTTTAGGCTTGAAACAAGTTTTTTTTTGTTCATGTAGGGCTTAAAATATGTGTAATTCCACATTACTTGATGAAGAAAGTCTCTGGTCCTGAGAGAATACTTAGTAGAATACTTTTTAATTGATGCTATACATGAATTATCCATGTAATTCATCTGAGCTCACTTAGTTGAATATGTGCACTGTCCCTTAAAATAATGTCAGAAAATCACATGTTAAAACACACACAAGAACTTATTGTGGTGATGCAACTTAGACCGAGGCAAAATGTTGTCAACTCATGTGTGAATGTATGGTAATTTAGCACAGATGCCAGTAATAAATTATTTGAAAAGAGGACAGAAACTAAAACCCTCTGCAAGTGATGACCGTTTTTGACCGTTTTTTAACAACATTCCATTGTCTAAATGTGTATATCATACATATAAATGTGTAAATAAAAAGCTTATTGAGCATGATGAAAGAATCTGCAACATATCTTTTTAATGCTTTTTATTTTAGTAACCCTTGCATTAAAATGGTGCATGCAAATATGAATATGACATGTTTGCATTATATATATATATATATAT